TAAAACATCCAATTAAACGTGTATCAGATATATTCGATTCAATTGAATGAATTTCTCCATTTGCTTTCCAACTAAATCAAAATTTATTATTTATCATAATAAAATATTAAGAATATTTGTTTTATTAATTTCTCAACGACTAAAAACCTATATAACGGACGATTGAAAAGTCTTTTGTTCTCTTTTCGGATATGGACTCAGAAATTTTGTCTCAATTTTTGTTAAGAGATGTTTGCTCTACAAAATGACCAACAAGGACTGTATAGGATAAATAAAAACGTGTTGATGTGCCACTACAAATAATTTTTCAGGTTTTCTAAGCATATATTCACAGAGAACACAAAATCCTGGTCGTGACCTATAGTTTTTGGCTCGTTTGAAATACTTTCAAGCAGGCCAAAATGAACAAACATCTTTACCAGAAACTTCGGCTCGCAAGTGTCATCCACACTAATTTTTTTTACCTTCTCAAAGATTATTTCATTATTCTCGAACAAAAATTGAGACAAAATTTCTGAGTCCATATCCAAAAAGAGCACAAAATCCTGCTTCTAACTCATAGATTTTGGATCGTCGGAAATCCTTTCTAGCTGATCAAAAGTGAACAAAAATTCTCTCCAAAAACTTTTCGATCACCCCCTTATAAGTAATGTTTCTGGATTGGTTCGTAACCTTCTTAAGTAAGTTTCTTATGATACTACTAGGATTTCTATGTAATACTGACGATGAATCTGTCACTGTCGATATAATGCTACACAAACATCTATAGTGTGACCTTATCAAGGGAAGAAACGACCTATTCCTGATACTCTCTGGACTCCATGCACTCCGGAAGTTCAGAGTAGAGTCCATCGGAAAGATCCGGACCGATCGGGTCCGAAAATTTCCTATCGACCGAGTTCGGATCTGCTCTGTTAGTTACTATTCTAAAACAAATAGCAAATTATGATTTCAATCTTATAAGATTACCATTGAAAATCTCTGAGAAATGTATAGGACGTACTAGTCTCTGAATATTAATACTTGAAAAAAGTATCTATGTTCGGCACAACTATTAAGTCAGAATTAAAAAGTTCCATTGAAAATATTATAAACACGCAACGGGTTTGGGTCTGAATTAAAAATTTTTAGACTCGACACGCTCTAGTCCAGAGAATACAGTAATTTGTACATAAAGCATCAGTTTGCAATATCTCTAACGTTGCTTTTAAGTTTCAAAATAATCATGATTAGGGATTCGTTTGTCAATATTGTAGAATTGTCTATTAGCATCGGACAGCAATGAAGTGTTAATACGACGTTTGAATGTAATCATATCAACAAGTCACTATAGTCAAACATGAAGAAAAATCTGTTTACTTCTCTCGATATACGAAATGGAAATGACAAAATACACGTTTCTTTCTTCTCATTCGTCTGAACGTTTAATCCTTTCAAAGATGAAGGAAACATTATAATGTCTCGCCTGTTGGATATATCCTATCTATCTTCCGTACTATTTCAATTTTACTTGCTTTTTTTTTCAAGCGCATTTCATATTACATTCGATGTACGGTAGTACATCGTTTTCTCCTAGTCCCTATTGTTCTTGTTTTTAACAGATCTATAATGTCAAAGTTTCTAAAGCTTGATTTTTTTTCAAAAGTAATTCTGTTCTAAAGTAGTTAAATCGGACAAAATCTTTAAGTAGATCCTATGGATAATCAGGATTTTCTCCAAGAAAACGAAGCTGATCTTTGAGATGTTCTCCTGTTGAAATATCCGTTCGAAGATTTTTTCATAAAAGAAATAAAAATATTTTTGTTATAGTTAAATGAGTCTGAAATATAAAAAAGTATCATACATAGGTAATTTATTGTTTTCGATGTGAATTAGTTTTCCCAGATCTAATGTTAATATAATTGGTTTAATTAAATGTGATGGTGAATCTTCTTGTAAACGTAAATCAATCCAATTTTCATCTTAAAATATTCTTTAAAAAAAATCTTTTCAATGAAAATAAAAAATTTATACTTTGTGTAAGATAAAGTAATTGAACATTTTCTAATTGAATTTTTAAAGGAACATAAATTAAATCATCTTGATCACTCTGAAAAAAAAATAATAAATATATATTTTATTTTATTTATAAAAAAAGACAAAATACTTTAGCATCATAAAAAACATTTTTTTCAAGATTTTGAACATTTTTTTTACCACCTTTAAACATAAAACGACCTAAATCCAAACAAATAATTGATGAAGAACTAAACATATAATAAAATAATAATTTGTGTAGTAGAAATAAATAAATGAAAATCTTACGATTGATAAAATCCATGTTCTGGTACAATGAAATAAATCGATTGTAAATCAATATCAATATCTAAATCTTTTATTTTTTTAAGATTTTCACTAACTAAAAATTGTGTACGATGTTTTATATCTATATAAATTGAATAAGCTGCTTCTTTTATTCTATTTTACAAACAAAAACAATATTTTTAATTAAAAATAAATTAAATTTACCCTTCTAAATCATGATGTCTATCCGGTAAAAAACATTCAATTAATTTATTAATCGTCATCTAAAAATAAAAATTATTTAAAAAATAAAATCTCTAAAGTTCGTACTGCATGATAATTAATTTGTAATAGTTGAGATTTAGCTTGGATACGATAATCAGATTTAGTATTTAATGGATTTGTTTCAAATTCAATATGAAGAAGTTGATTTGTTTGATTAAATGATTGAATTAAAAGAGGACGAGATAAGTTCAATTCATTTTTATTATTCAATTCTGAATTAATTCCAGACATTTCTAATGAATTTAAATCAATAACTAATCTTTAAAAAACAAAAAAAGGGTGTGGGTGTGGGTGTGGTGTGGGCATGGGTGTGTGGGTGTGGGTGTGAAGTGTGGGTGTAGTTGGGCGTACATGACGTTATCCGATTACACCCACACCCCACACCCACACCCACCCACACCCACATCCACACCCTAGTCAAAAATAAATGACTAACTACAAACCGACAATTCTCTTACACAAACGAAAAGCCTTTCAACTCAAATGTCTTTCGCTTTTATTTTGATCTGTATCGAAAGAAAAAACCATAAAGAAATAAACAGAGCATCAATCTCTAAAGAGTTTGAGTTGATCTTCCTAAAGCCATAGAATAGTTATCAATTTGATTTCGTTTTTTTGCAAGATACTAAGGTAAACCACAGCAAGTCTTTTACTCATATGTCAAAAAAGGGGTTTACATGGCCATCGCTCTCATATAATATGACATGTTTCTATGCATGAAATGAATAATAAATAAACTTGAGTTGAGTGTAAACAAACCTACTTTTTCTTCCTTCGCTTTTTCAACGTCTTAACACTATGTTGATCTTTCATCAAATAGTTCGTCCAATCAACTAATGATAGGTTTCTCTTGCATGACCTATACGTGACCTCGACATATAGATGAGTAAACTCTATCTTATTCATGAAAAAAACGAACCGAGAGAGGAATACACTTATTGTTGTGTCGATCAAAAGGCTAACGAAATAAAAAGAAAAATTTTATTCAAAGTAAATATGCATGGCAGAACACAGATTAGGAAAAAATCAGCGACACCCAAACACACGGACATTTAGTAATATCGAGATAAAAAGTAACCGAACAAAATATGTGTCTTAATTCATTCGATCATGTCGGATTTTTATATTTTACTGGATCAAGTTGAAAATTTTGACTAACGCCAAGTGTTTTTTTTTTCTGAAATCTTAATTAAGCAAAAGAAACAATATTTCAATAGAAAATTTTAACGTATAAGATATACGTAGAGATAATTATACATCAACTAATATAATATAAGAAATATTTCCTTGTCTCAAAATGAATTTGGCTAATTTGTTTATAATAAACCAATGCATCTCTTATTAATCATTGTACAATTAATTTTCATGTATAGTAAAATTTTAACGGCCAGAAAGATTTATTTCATGATTCTTTTTCATCTTTCTAATACTAACAATAAATGTTATTAAAGATTTTCATTATGCATATCGCATAATAATGAAAAGAGATGTTATCTGCAAAACATATTGATATTCGAATTAGTTTTCATTAGCCAAAATAAGCTATCAAGTGCATTCTACTTTGCCTAAATGGTCTCATAGACAAGAATTGACAAATAACGTAAACATTTCTAAAGTACTGATACTGGAGTATACTTTCTTTTCAGAAGACTTTGAAGTTTTTTGATTATCGATAAGAATGATTGTTGATGAACCAAAGCTGAAAACAACGGATTGAATTTATTTTTCCATTGAAGGTTCATTCATTTGTATCGGGTAACCTGTTGAACTTTAAACAAAGAGAAGAAAATGACCCTATGTGACCTTTTGAACTTCGTAGACAAAGAGCGAATAATACTTAACCTGAGTTGTATGACCGAGTGAAGAAAAGAATACTCTTTTATTTTATTTGTTTGATAGTTAGTAGGTTCATGTTTATCTTCTTGTTTGATAGTTGAATATAATATTTAATCGTAGTGCATTTTATGTTGTTTAGAAATCCTATGGATTTTTTCAACTGTCTCCTTCAGTTGCTGGTTATCTCCGTTAGTGGTACTCATTTTACATCGTTTGAAGAGAGAATTAAGGAGACACACACATTTCGATGGTCAACAAATGCCGACTTGAATAAGAGTATATGCGTGACAGCATGTAGACCACCACGTTATCAAGGTAACTTGATAGAGCTCATATTGTGGGGCACTTCTTCAAGTGAGTATATCGTCTTGTTTCCTTCTAGTTTATGAATAGAGAAGTATGATAACCTGTTTAGAATTCCTTCATCTTAGTGCTTTTACAACGAAAGAACAAAGACAAGCCATATGCCAATGCAACCGTTCACTTTTTGTTCTTGTCGGCAATCCAGGTGTAATTTGGCATCCTGAGAGTGGTCAATGTCTTCATACCAAGCCAGATACTGTACTAGTGAGCGTTGGTGACGCTCTAAGTGGTCATCGTAAGATGTTCAGATTTTGACTTTTTTGTTTCTTTATCTGTAGAAAGACTTTTTAGTGTGAACAAATCAAATACTTCTCGATCATTAAACGAGCGCATTTGATTGAGCGAAAAAGAGCGCGAGAGAAATTTTTAAGGTTTTGAACATTTTGAGTAAATACATTATACAAATGTTCAATTAGATATGACAGTAGAAATGAGCAAGGCGAGTCATTCTGTGACTTGATTTGTATCAAAAAATCTCTGACTTGCCCATCTCTGGATTGAACACATCAGTAAGAATGTAAATGGCATAGTTAATTAGAACAATATTGAAAAACGTTTCGAAAAGTTCTTTGCAAATTGTGAGAATCTCTTTCGAAAATCGAAAGTTTTTCGATTCAACATTTGAATTTGTTTTCTCGCGATGCCATGTTTTGACTCTGCATCTAAACTTGCCCTATACTTCGTGAGTGAGTCATGGTTAAAATCATAACTAAGTCTACGGTCAGTTATCTAAATTTCTCCTACATGTGATCGTGTCGGTGATTTGATCATAAATATGTATAAAGGAACTTTAAAACATGATCAACTCACATATCAATGTCATAACTTGATCAGCTACTCCATAGTACATAGAGTTGCGATTATTCGATGTGTTGAAATCTGTGAATATGAATCATTATCTCATACAGCCAGGAATACATTTTCAAGCATCACTGTTGAATGCGTGAGAAACCTACAACAATGAGTGATTTTCTTCCATTGTTTAGATACCTGTTTACTAAGAGAAGCTAGCGGTGCTAATACGCGGCCATTTAGTCTGTGGAGAGAAATCACAGTTACAGTTATATAATATTGATTATATGATGTTCTGGTTAATATGTTTTTTTTTTCTGTACATCTTCGGCTTTTTGTTTTACCGTCGTAAATGATTGATGTGTGTAATATTTCTTGTTTTTCTTTCGTTTACATTATTCACGAATCATGAGATGTGATCTTTCATATTTTTTATTTTTCACCAATATTCTCTACTATTTTTGGATCTTCTTCATCTAGAAGGTGTCGGAGTACAAAAATAATCTTTTAAAATAATTAAAAATAGAATGTCTTTTTTTAATTGTTTGTCTGTATTTTGATTAATATGATAGAAAACTAATATCTCGCGCTTTTTAAGATTTAATAATAGCTCTTCTATAAAATGAAATTATATTTCGAAGTAATGAAAATTAAACTACTTTAATATTTATGTGATAGAGACATTGAAAGTGTGAATTCATCGAAAATTGACCATGTTCTCCTTTTGAATCGCAAATGGAATGTTCCATGAACGCATTCCTAATTTAATTTTTATTGAATTATATGAATAAGTGTTTGAATAAATTCAGTGAAATCTTATATAAAACTATTGCAACCATCTCTTTTGCCAGTTTTACTTGTAAGTTCCTAACCAAAAATTTTAACGTTTCCACTCTTCGAGATTTTTGGAGGAGTATTCAATTATGCAAAGTAAATAGTTCGAACTCATTGATTCGTACAAAAGCTCAGCGTTACCAATCCCTCGAAAAGTAATACCAAGTATTGAAAGCTTCCTATCATAGATTTACTTGAAACACAAGACAATTATCATACTTTGAGCCAAGAAATAACTTCATTTGCTATCAATATTCTTATTGAATTTTATTCAGTATAGTAAATATATGAAAATCTAACCTTATGGTTAAATAAAAAACATTCATCATTTTCTTTCTATTAGGTGTCTACGCCACGTACAAAACGTTAAGAACGAGCTACGACTGTGAATATGACAATCCTAATTTGGCTCTTTTCAAATATGACAAGAACAAATCTCAACGACTCTCGTACTTAGCAGATGTTGGTTTGAAGACGGGCAAGAGAGAAGAGTGGTGCATACGTAGTTACTATGCAAGCGTACTTCAAGTAGCGCCCACGTGCAACATTGATACAGATTCTTCCAATTGGGTACATGAGACTTTCTTTCACGAAGTCTATGAAAATTACAACTGTCGTCTTTACAATTGCAGTGTAATGTAGTGTGGTTTAGCAATATTGAATTGTTGTTCCTGTTTTTTGTTTTCGAATAAAAATCCATCTTAGATTCATAAAATCCTCTTATTGTATATATCGAAGGCATATCATCATCTTATTTTTTATTACTATCGTTGTAACCATAGTGGTTTACATAATAACGAGCTCTGGTTCATGTCATATTGTAGGTCTAAGTATCCTGTAGCTACACAGAATTAATCACTCAAAGATATTATTGTGTTGTTAAGATTCACTCTAAATAATAATCCAATTTAGCTGTCTTTTAGATTATTCTGCCATGATTCCGACTATCGCTAAAGTAGCCAGAGTAATAACTTATACCATTTGCTGTCATTTTCTAGGCCTATCTCTCCTCTAGCTATAATGAAAAAAATCACGAATAGCTATTTTGCCTTTCTCGAGATATAGTCACAATATTGAATAAATCCATATCCTATCACTAAGGTGTGGGTGTGGGTGTTGGTGGGTGTGGGTAGATGGGTGTGGGTGTGGGCCTCGGTGTGGGTGTCGGTGTGGGTGTGGGCGTCGGTGTGGGTGTGGACGTCGGTGTGGGTGTGGGCGTCGGTGTGGGTGTGGGTGTGGATCTTCTCTTTAATAGAATCCACATCCCCACCCACACCGACGCCCACACCCACACCCGTCATCAACCCTATTGAAAATAACAGCTCATTTCAATTACACACTTGTTCATGGCAGAAAATCGTAAAAAAAAATCTAAAATGTGGTACAGAAAGTATACCCCAGAGGTA